CACGTTGGCCAGACAATATCTTTTTGTTAACCTATTCTTGGATAAAGGTGCTTAATTTGTGTCTGGGAATTTATTATCTGCTATATGTTCATAGGTTTTAGTTTTGACTCCAGAGTTACTGAAAGGTGTATAAAAGCAGCAAAGAAAAATTGCTTCCATCCTTGCCTTCCTGAATGAACCCTTGTTTTTAAGATTCACCTGAGGGGGTTTTTTTTGTTTTGTTTTTTTGTTTTTTATCCAGTTTTTCAGGGACTTCAAAATGTCCAGACATAGAGAAAAAGTATATCCACTGAACATAGAGAAAAGTTAGCTGTATCAGTATTTTATTTTATTTATTATTTTATTTTATTTATTATTTTATTTTATTTATTTTATCTTATCTTATCTTATTATCTTATCTTATCTTATCTTATTTTATTTCCTTCCTTCCTCCCTTCCTTATTTCCTTCCTTCCTCCCTTCCTTCCTTTCTTGGACTGTGCTATATTTTAAATATTAGCATCTGTTTAGTCTTAGATGTTTTGAGTAGAACTAATCAGAAAGTCTGGAGCCATGACTGCATATCAAATTTTCCAGTCATTTTTCTTCCCTTACATGCATCTGCCTTAATATTTATCCTAACTTGGTTATGTTAGTGGCAGTGGAAAGGGCACCAGGTGTTAGACCCCAGGGGGTTAGATGGGACTTGGGTTCAGCAACCTCAGTACATGGGTTCTTGCTAGGAAAGATTTTAGAGCTAAAACTCAAATTATAAGGGAACATTTATTTAGAAAGTCACAGAGATAGAAGAAGCAATCCTATATAATAAAGAGGTAATATGCAAATTGATCATCACATCCTCACACAAGATGGCTGCCCCCATGTTGCCACAAGATGGCAGGCAGGGGAGAGCAGTTGTGGGCAATCAGGCCAGCAGGGGAGGGCAGTTGGGGGCAATCGGGCTGGCAGGAGAGCAGTTAGGCGTCAATCAGGCTGGCCAGGGAATGGTTAGGGGCAATCAGGCAGGCAGGCAGGTGAGCGATTGTGAGCCAGAGTCCCGGATTGTGAGAGGGATGTCCCAGATTGGAGCGGGTGAAGGCTGGGCTGAGGGACATCCTCCCCCCCCCCCACTTGAATTGTGTGCACTGGGCCTCTAGTTAATAGAAGAAATGATCTGAGGGAACAAGTTATAGAGCAGTGGTTCTCAATCTTGGCTGCACATTAGAATCACCTGGGAATCTTTTTAAAATCCTGATTTCTGGGCCTCATCCTCCAGAAATTCTGTTTCTTTGTTATGGGGTGGGGCCACAACATTAGTAACAAAGAATTTCCGGAGGATGAGGCCCAGAAATCAGGATTTTAAATAGATTCCCAGGTGATTCTAATGTGCAGCCAAGGTTGAGAACCACTGTTATAGAGGCAAAGGAAGGGCCCTTGGAGTTTAGGAGTGAGGTAGG